TGAAATGCCACGACTGTTCCACCTTAGAAAAGTAACTGCTCTAGGGGATTCATTAGGAAATAAAAAGCTCAAACCAACTTAGAACAGGAGGAAGGAACAGGAACAAGGACCGTCACCTGCCGGGGAGCTGGGAGTTCAGTGATAACATTAAAGCAGCAGACATAATTCTAAACGACCAGGGACTACCAACGAGTGTAGAGGATGCAGGGCAAAAAGCTCAGATCGGAAGGCATACGGCTTTCCATCATCTGGTTCCAAAAGATAAATTTTGTTGAAAAAAACCGCACTGCTCTGGGCTTCCTCACGCTCTTTATGACAATGACCACACTGCCCTGCATCTTCCGTGACCCAGCACCATGCTTCCCCAACCCCAATTCCAATCCCTTACCCTGCAAAGCACTCCCTGCCCCCCAGGGAAACCCACCTCCCCCTCTGTGAGCCACTTAGTCATCCTTTCTTTACAACACCCCCCTGGTCTGCGAGGTATTTGGCTAGTGACTGCCATCTCAAGTGTCCCTGCTAGTGCTCAGGTTCCGCGTGTCCAATACCATCCACCTGGTCAATTCCTTGCTACTGCTCTAACTTCCTGGGCGCCCTGCACAGAATGGCTGCTGAGTACGTGATCATCCCACACACCGTGGGGTGAGCCAATTAACAGATGAGCTCGTCAGCCAGGCAACACGCACTCTAGAGGAAGTCAGATAAAGCACAGGGTCCCCTCTGTAGGTGGCTACATGTCTCAAATGCTTTAAGCCCATCAGGTTCCCTGGCTTACCCTTTCACTCCCCATATTTCTCCTCTGAGTTTCTTACTACAAGTAAAAAAAGAAATTATTCTTTAAACCTGCAGCATGATTCTGTGCCCCCCCCCATTAGAATTACTGCTGGTCCAGGACCCAGTTCAGTACGGCAAGCCAGCGGGGGCCTGCTGGGTGAACCGAGGACAGTGCCACAGGTGCGTCTAAAGAGGAAAAGTTGAAAGGCGTAACAATTCCTCAGAACGTCCCAAGCCAGGAATGCATGAAAATTAAATAAAGATGAATATCAATATTGGACAATCTTAGACTTCTGCCTTGCTAGTCTAGTTGTATGTTATCCCCTCTACAGTTCCATTTTCTTGAGTGTTTGCTAAGCTGACTGGAATAAATAGAGTGTAAACATTAAACAGAAGTCCCCGTCAAGGCCTCAGCAGCATCTGGAGCTCCTGCAAGGAACTTACCAGACCTCAATTTCCTGCACATCCGTTTTTCGTAAAGAAGATCAATAGCTAGCCCTGTGCTTGGTACCCTGACCCTTCCTTTCTTTCACACTGGTCAAGTTCTAGCTATGGAAGGGTTAGGAAGCAGTCATTGCTGAGAAGCTGGCTATTACTGAGCTCGGGGATCGGCTGACCGGAGGGCTACTGGCTGTCTGAAGTCAAGCCAGACGCCTAGGGTGGCTTCCCTACCTGGGGCTGCTAGTGGCCAGACTCCAAGTGTCTGCGGAAGTCAGGTTCCCACCAGCCTGGACAACAGAGAGGACAGACAGAAAACTACAGCTTCCTAACAAGCCGGTACAGTGAGCAGTGCCAGCCTGGGGCAGGCTTCTTTCTGTGTGCCACCACTGGGTCCAGCTCCTCGCTGCCTCCTCATCACGTTTCCCGTGCACCGTGACCCTGAGGGGCAGGGAGAAAAGAGTGTCCGGGAAGCCACGTCAGTAGCCCAGGGCCACTGTCTGTGCTCTAGATGGTGCAGCCTGGGTTTGACCCAGCTCCAACCCAAGTCTGGGCCGCATCTCCATGGAAATTGTTATAAATGAAACTACATCGAGTCTGAGGTTGGCCTCCGCAGTTCCTGGTACAGCAGCAAAGAGCAGCCAGGGTGGCTCCGGGAGGGGCTGCTCTGGGAGCCAGGGGTCCTTCTGGGACAGGAGCAGCAATGGGGCCACCTCCTCCCTGTGGCTTCCCAGCAGCCGGACCCAGGCGGTGGAAGCCAGGGGGGCTTTTTAAGTAAGTTCAAAGTGAGCATTGTAAGTACTGAAGTTAGACTCCTCTTGCAACTAGAAGGGATGAGAAGACTTGTTTGCTATCTAAAGCGACAGAAAAAAGTTACTGGGTATATATTATAGGAGACCCGGCGTCACAACTCTTCCACCCACGGGGGCAGGACGACAAACGGCCTCCAAGGGGAAAGGGAGGAAGACCGAGCCTGAAGAGCTTCCCCCCTCATCACCCTCGGCCTCCTCACAGAAGCAGGTGAGTACCGCTTCGTAAACCCGGGGCAGCCACACGTCCAGGAAGGGTCTTCGCAGAGTGAAGTCGGCGTGATCTGCCGTGAGCCAGAGGAAGCCGATTCTGGGCCGTGAGGCACACACGAGCACTCAGTGACCTGCACACGTGACCTGTGGCCAAGCGTGAAGCTGAGGCTCATCCCTCTGAGAGACTTCTGAAGTGCACCAGAGAGCTCTTCCCATCCCTTCTCCTGTTATTCCCAGGTGACTAACGCAGCTCAAGGTGCCTCCCGAGGGACTCCACCTCTCCCTCCCCAGACGCATGGAGCGAGGAGGAGGAGGTCGTGAAGGCTGCTAGGAGACAGGGACAGAAGGAGAAAGGGGGGAGCTGAAGATGAAGGGGGAGTCACGGGCTGAAAGCTGACAGCTGGAGGGAGCGCAGCGCCGTGGGCAAGGTCCAGTGCTAGCACTAAGCGGTACTTAGGGGCAAAGCCGGATTTCCTGCCCTAAAGAATCAGGATCAACATTGGGAAACTTCAAAGGATAAGCACCACCTTCTGGAAGAGGGAGGGAGGGTGGGCAGGTGCACAGACCTAACAGGCCAGAGGTCTAAGAAAGGGTATTCACAATGGCCGTGTGAGTCAGATGGAGCCAAGGCTGGGCTCCGGGCAGACTGCGGCTGCAGCCCCTCCGTTACAGTGAAGGTTCTGCAGATGCCAAAGCCTTCTGGGGGTTTGGGAAGCTCACTCGAGATGTACATCTCTTGGGGGGCGAGTTATCCACGTTCTCGTCCCCACTGTGGAAGCACCACGCTGGCCTGTGTGAAAGAAGCGGAACGCTGGGGCTGCGCTGCGAACCACCCGCAGGCACCAACGCATTCCAGGGTGACACTAAATGCCACAGCAGAGCCACCTTCACTTACTATGGGTGTCCGTGCAAACGAGTCTAGAGTGACAACACCGGTGTCCCTGTGCTGCCTCAAGATCACAACCATCACCAGGACCCTAGCATCCTCGAGTCTCACGGTGTGAACTCGAGACAGTCCAGTCCTGTCCAGTCCTGTGTCTGGCACTAACCAACCACAGCCCAAATGAGCCACAGCACCCCGCGCCTGTCTACAGGGGGCTCTGATGCAGTCCCAGGAGCGAAGCCCACGGGTGTTATTTCAAGTTTCCTGCTGCTATCACAATACTGCCAATAAAACTACTTCTTATCAGAGTGACAATGACGAGAAGTTAAGTCTCAATTTCAATTCTGACCTACTAAAACTGTTTGAATAATTGATTAGAGTGTAAGTCAAGGCAATCAAGTTTATTTTTCAGTTATGCAATCAAAGAACTGATTACTTCTCAAATAAAAAAAACAGAGAACTGGATTATTTCCCAGAATAAAAAGAAACAAGTAACAGTTTCTATGTAGGAGAGCAAGCAAGTGAGCCTCAGTGTGGGTGCAGCCACACACAGCTCTCGCTGGCTCTGCTCCGGAAGCCGTGACGTAACAGGATAATCACACACTGCTTAAATCTAGGAGTTCTTGTGGTTTAAATCTATGAATCATGCCCAGATAATCTAGCATGACTTACAAAACAATTAATTGTGATGTGCGGCTCAAGCCCTACAATCATTCTTTATAGTAGATTGATTTTCAAGGTGATTTTAGAAATACAAGAACTATCTTGGACAAAAGGCAAGAAGAAATAATATATTTAAAAAAAAAAAGAGGCAGATTTTCCTCCCACTGGTGAAGAAGATTGATTTCTCAATGATATTAGCTCTTTTATCCTATAATCAACAATCTTTCGAAATAGTCTAATCTAACTAGATGACTCAAAAGGCTTCTTTCATTTAACTATGATTCATTTTTACAATTATTATCTACTTTAAGAGGATCTTCTTCAGACACGCCTTTCTCCCCCAGGGCAAGACAACTCCAGGTCACACAGAGGACAGAGAACCTCACAGGAGAATCACAACCACTGGCGACAAGAGTCTGCCCTCTGAGCGAAGCCAGCACCTGGATCCCCAAGCAGGGACTCCCTTCTTGCCCTCTATCCTCAAGTCTGAGAACGAGGCTCCCAGAAACACTTGTGTCTAAGAGCAGAAGGACAAGACTCTGCAGGGGGACATCTGAGAAGGACTATGACGCCCTACAGTGACTTCTGCATGGACATACTGCTGATCACACACACACAGATGCCACCCTCCGAAGTCATTATCTTGGCAACTATACCTTAACGTGCTTTGGGATTTGTTTCGGAGCCTGGAAGCTTGCATATCCTTCCAGCTAGTGGTATCTGTCTTCTCAGGCTGAATTTAGCAGCAAAGTCATCCCAGTAGATGTACTTTTCTCTGGAAATCCCTCCCGACCTCCCAAGTCTAGGTGACAAGTGCTCCCAAATGGTCCCTGCACTTGCCCAACGAGCTCTTCTCACTGCCTCGAGCCACTCACGAATCATCTCTGACACAGCGCTAGCCCTCACTGCGCAGGCAGTTACTGTCAGGCCCACAGTCCACCACAGGCCTCCGAGGAATACTGAACCCATTACCCACCGCAGGGCGAGCTGGTTTGCAACACTGCATGCTCTGTCCTACCCTCTACTCTCGGAGAAGAACACCAGGCCTCCAGGGGAGTGTGTGTCTATGCAGAGGGACAACTACTTCATACCCCTGGGGAAGGCGACACTCTATTTTAACTATTATCACTTACATACAGGCAAAAGCAAAAAACATGATTCTTCACACCCTAAAAACTCACGACTCTCCCACTCCCAAATTTGCAAGCCCGATATCTTACCTAGCTGCAAGATCTTTATTACATCTCTGTAGGCCTTTGTCACCAGCTTGAAATGGCGATAAAGTGGGTAGCACAAAATTCTCCTTCCAAAAGACACCAGGATTTCATGAATATCGTTCCAAGTCTGTGAAATGCCATTTTAATCAGCAGTCATTTCCATAAAGTGTTACCAACAAAAGCATGCAATGAAACAGGAAACCATTCTCAATCAAACACTGTGAACCGGGTCATCATGAAGTAAAGTACAAGAGAAAGGAGAGCCAGGAAATGAGATTCTTTTTGTACAGTTCACAATATTTTACTGCAGTCTTCGTAATCTCTCATGCTATATCAACATATCACAAATGCTCCTTAAAAATCACTTATGTAGCAGGAAAGTTTTTAAAGAGTCTCCAGAATTACAAATAAAAATCTAAAACACGTGGCACTAACAAAATGCAGGTGCACATGAAGGATATTTTTAACTGGTATGCGCTACGTCCTCTGTCTTGTTCTAAGATGGCAAAGATCCAGGATGAGGAGCACTTGAGTGAAGCTTGGCCACAGTCTCTGCCCTCCTGGGTGTCTTTATTTCTCCTTGGGGCCTGAGTGGCACCTGTGATTTACCTCAGTAATCTGCTTTCACTGATAAAAAAGATTGGGCTGGTGATTTCTGAAAAAATGTTTTATCTTAAAAGGTAACAAACGGATACCATTAGCAACTCGAAACCCACTGAAAACTCTAGAAACAGGCGCTACAGTGTTGAGGTCCCAAGTTCAATCCCCAGAACCCCTGTAAACAAACAAAAATTGAAGGAAATTTTCTACAAAATTGTTTTTAAATTGGTTTGGGTAAATATAAAAAAGGAAATCACATGTAAAACTTGAAAAACAAAATTAAGACTAAGGGAGTGAGATAATCTCTACGTATCTTAACTCTCACAGCCACGAAAGCTCTGATCAAATATGCTGAATATTTAACAAAGAATATTTTTATCTAAAAGGAATTCTGAACTTTAAATAACTCTAGCAATAACCTAAACACTTATGCGTTTAACATAGCTTGTTAATACACGGGAATCAAAATTATCTCAATTCAGAATTATCTCAGAACAATAAAAACTTCTAAATAAACTCACAAATGTGTGGATTTTCGTGCAGATTTTAATTCCCTCATGAGGAAATGACTAGTCACCGACTTTCAAGATACCCGTTGGCAGAACTATTACAAAGCCCAGCCCCCCTACTGCGTGCTGACGGTGGCCACGGAGGAGCGCAGAGAGCCTGGAGAGAGCCACCCGGAGGCCTCACTGCAGGCTCAGGCTCAGACCTGGGAGCCGGGGACACGGAGATGATCTTTCTAACTATCTCCCTTGGAGGCTGCAGGTCCACAGCCAAACAAAGCTTCCGTGCTCATCAGGGTCTCTGATGAAATGCCTTACAGTCCTGTCTCCTCAGGGAACAAAGTGACACCACACACAGCCTTGACTTGGCATCCCAAAGCATGAGGGTCTCACCTGATGTCACTGTGATGACCAATGGTCTAAACTGATCCTTTTTTTTTTTTTAAACTTCTACTTTTAATTACTGAATTCACGTAAAACAGTTTGTTTAAAAATTAGTAACTGTAAAGATATCACCCTTTGATATTTCTGGTGAGACCTGCACATCTATTTTCTAGAACACAGACATGAGAACAATCATTACTGCACCAGGAGTCATCTGAGCCACCCTGACTGAGGGACGTGGGGTGCGTTGTCTAAGCTGTACGATCTCGGTCCCCACGTGTGCCACAGCGACACTCAGCTCACAGACTCGCTCAGAGGAGGAGCTAAAGTCACAGGCATGAAGGCCTGCGCAGGCCCTGGGGTCCACCTCCCGAGTGCTGAGCTCCAGGTCCGGCCACTCTGCACACCAGCTTCCAGTCCACCCACGTTCTCCCCCCGACCACGACCCTCTTCTTCCTCCAAGCTACATTTCCCTTCCCCAATTTCCAAAATACCTACTCGGCTCCATGACCACGAAAGACGAAAAACAAAGCTTCCGTGCTGAGACAAAGTAGCTTGAATTACCCAGAGTGAAGTAAAGACAACCGAAAAATAACGCTCTGAACAACAAAAGTCTGAAACCTGCAGCCAGAACCATACCTCAAACCAGCACAACGTGGCACTCAGTTTCCTGAGATTCCAAGAGGACTCCACCTTTGTTTTGGAGAAAAGAGTGACATCTGTTTTAGAAGCAAAGTCATTTGAAAATAAAACAAATCTCTCTACTCAAACTTGTACCTGAGTAGAACCGACAAATACAAGAACTGAGAAGTGTTGTGTGAATGTTCAAAATGACTGCTTTACTAATGCACAGACTATTAGACGTTTCCGCTTAGTTTGCTTGAAATCTTATAAAATAAAAATTTCTTACTAATAAGAATACCAAAACACAAAAGCAAATAAGCAGGGGCTTTGAAACTAAAAGCTAAAGGTAAAAAACGCTTGTTCCGTTTCTGTCCCTCTCAGTTAAGCCCCTTAATACTAAAGTGCCACCTGTGTCAACTTCACAGTGATCAAGAAATGGCCCTTCCAGAGAATACCTGTGAAGTTAAGGGTGTTCTAGAAAAGTTCTCCAAGGTGTCAGGTGTCACAATTTCAAACAGGTAAACAGGAGAATAAAAAAGGTAAATTTTATCAAATATAACCGAATGCTCTCACTCACCAAGATTTAATGATCTGAAGTACTTTCTGGTCAAAGAGAACATTTTATCCAACCATAGTGTCTTTATAAATGATGAGTGAAAACAAATTATTTTCAGATGCTTGGGCACCGAGTGACCCTCAGGATAGGTCGGACCCTCGCCAACAGAGCTCAGGCGCCCATGCGTGTCCCCAGCATAGCAGGTGCAGGGGCGTGCGCCCACATACACTTACATTCCTCTCGCCCTCGGTGACGCGGGTCTCGTAGCAATACGCCAGAAGAATGTCAATTAAGCCGTAGCACACCTGCCGGCGAGCTCTCTTGTCCAGCAGGAAAGATTTATTGACAAACTTCCGTAGCTGATATTTCTCTTCTTCAGAAAAAGACACTAGAAGATAAAACATTTAAAAATCATAGTCTCATTCAGTTTTATAAAATCCTCAATGTGGAAGATTTACCAAAATTAGAACTTTGAATATAGAAACTGGAATAAGAGTTCTTTCTACTTAAGTCTACACAGCTAAACAACAGTAGACGGCACGGTTTTATACGGCTTCTGTTCCGGACCTAGTAGCACTGAAGGAGAAAACGCTAAGGGTCCGCTCTTCACTCATTTTCGGGCCCCCACTGTTCTATGCTTCAGGCATTTAAACTCATAGTTACGAACTTTAATATTAAGACAATACATCTGGACCACAGAAGACATAACAGTCATAAAAATCACTATGACAATATTCATCATCCATTTTGAAAATTCAATACAAAGAAACAGAAACATTCCCATATGTAAATCAGTTTTATTTTTTACCACATAAACACAGTGTAGCATAAACGCACAGATGTGACTCCATCACACACCTCAGACTCAGGAAGAGGGTGCTTCTCTTCAACAGTTTCCTTCCCACCTTCAGCTTCATGAAAAGCTTTACATTAAAAATCTAATACACATCCCTGCACGGTTCCCTCCACACCAGGTGACAACATACAGACACACAAACATGCAGGTACCACTCCACAACACGGCTGGTAACCTGCTAAGTCACCTGGAACAGCTCATTTTTGCAGTGGAGTAGAAGATTCCGTGATGGACTACGTTTTATCCAACCACGCCCCCTACTGATGGCCAGTCACCTCCTCCTGCCTTCCTGCTACTCAATAATGATGCAAAAAATGTCCTTGACACATGTCCTTGCGTATTGGAGGCTTTATTTCCATAAGGTTCCCAAGAGTACATTTATTGAATCCAAAAGTTTATCTGGCTTAAAGCAAACACTTTGAAGGCTACAGTAATTCTCCCTTCCTTTGTATCCAGTCATGGATACAAGGTCCCTTTCTTATACAGACCTCCCATCTCACCTGGCAGGAAACATAACGGATTTCTCCCCAGTCATTTCCAGGGTAATGGACTGACAATAACTATGGGAGGCAAAATCCTAAGATGACATGACCCCTCCAAGGAGTCATATAACCATGCAGGATGGGGCTGGTGACTTGCCTCTAAGAATATAGCAAAGCTGGGGCAGTCACTCCCACAGTAAAGCCCTCCTATATACACAGACCTGAGCCGGGCTTTTCCTGCCCATGTTGAAGAAGTAAGAGGACGTGTGGTGAGGAAGCCTGTGGGGACACTTTACAGCAAGTGCCTGTGGTGGCCCCAGCAGATAGCCAGCAGCAGAGGGAGGCTTCTGTGCCACCACGGCAGGGGACAGAATTCTGTCAGCAACTGTGTGAGCCTGGAAGAGGACCCCAAGCTCCAGAGAGGAGCCAGCACCTGTCTGAAGAAGTTTAGAGCCTCCTGAGACCCTGTGCAGAGGACCCAGCAGAGGCAGCCTGACTTCTGCACGTGGAAACCATGAGGACATGAATGTGTGTTCTGTTAATTTGTTATATTGCAAGATAAAAATAAAACTGTCACACACCATGGTTATCTCATTAGCACCTTAATGCTAAACTTCAAGCGTTTTGTAAGTTTATTGGAAATCTGATTTGCTCTCCAGTGAATTACCCATCTAAATATGCTCCACCCATTTTTTCTGCCAGATGCCTTGTCTTATCAAGTTGAAGAGCTCTTTGTGTATTAGACATAAATCCTAACCACCTCTCCAAATCCACTGTATCTCGACAACTTTGTTTACGGTTCCGTTTGCCATTGAAGTATTTATTTTTCATGTAGCCAAATAAATCTATCTCTTAAAAAATATTCTAGATTTATAACCTCGGTTAATGTTTTCCCAACCTCTGAATTGCACATGAAGTCTAAGATTTACTATTTTGCTTTCTACATTTATGCTTTAATCCATCTGGGAGCTATTTTTTCACATTTTAAGATTTCAGTTTATTCCAGATGAACAGTTAATTGTGCCAGCAAAATTTGTTTAGTAATCCATTTTTTCCCACTGTATTGAACCACCAACTTTGTCAAACAGATCTATTACTTTTCTTGCTAAAAATTACAAAGTATTCTTGTTTGTTGTCACTATTGTGAATACAGTATTTCCCCCCATTTTCATAATTAAGTACTTCTTGATAAGAGAAAAAGTGTATCTTATTTCACGTATCAGATGTTTCACTAATATTGCCACCCAGTACAAAACAACAAACTTGAAATACTTACTGCAGATCACAAAATACCTCAAGCTTACGTAAAGGCTAGCAAGCATGAGACTGGAGATCTTTGCCCAATTACCATAAAGCAGCCTCTGAACACCATGTCTTCCTGTGCTTACACAAAACGATGCACAAGAGGCTTTCCTTTCCAATCATGTATGTTCTCACATTAATGAAATATAAGTATTAGTTCATTATTTTACAAATGAAGCAAAATACCTTGCCTAGAGCAAGATGCACAGAAAGAGCAACAGCTGGAAACAGGAACTAAAGGCTCAGTCCTAGGTAGTCTAAGTACAGCCTTGTCTTTCTTCCTCCCAGGGTCAGGGACTGAACCAGGGCCTTGTGCAGGCTAGGCCAGCGCTCTACTGCTGAGCCACATACCAGGCTTGTCTTAGAGCAATTTTAAAAGAAATCTAAGCATTTATATATCCTTCTAAGTAAAAGAGTTACTACTCTTTCATCTTGCAAAGTTATTTGTGATTTTCCTTCTATTCCCCCTCAATCACTTTCAAATTCTCTAAGTTTTTCACCCCAAGAGGAGCATCCTGCTTCTACTTCCGGGGCTTCACATCAACATAACGTCAAAGTGACTTTCGAGTCTTCTTCTCCAGGTTTAGAGTCGTCCGTGAAGTTCAGGTAAAGACAGACTACACGCCCCGACAGAGACCCCAAGACAGGGGCTGACACGAGACAGAAGTCTGTACCACCGTGGCCCGTGACTCAGGCTGGCTGGACACCAGCTTCCTATCACATAACCTCCACCCATCCGCCTGAGACAGCTACTCTGGCTTTTAGTAATCTCCTGGCCAACTAGAAAGCAGAAAGCAAGAGGGTGACAAGCCCTTCCTTTCCAGAAACGTCATCCGTAAAGCGTACCCAGCACTTCTGCTCACCTCCATCAGCTGAAGGAGGACAGAAAGCAACCGTCATCAGTGAGAGGTCACAGCTCAGCTGTAATCAAGAAGGCCTCCCGCTGAAAGAGGGGAGAAGGACAATGAAAAGACCCCTGGGCTCTTTGCCACCTCTTCAGAGGCCAGAACTTATTATTCTTGATATTCCCAAACCGAGCTCTAGGTGGCCAGCTGGCCACACACTCCAGCTCAGCCGGACTGCCTTTCTGCTCTTCCCAGCCTGGTCAGGGCAAGGGAACGACCACACACAGAGGACAGGCCCCGGCCTGCTGCACTGTCCCCAAAGGCCCATGTCTATTAGAGGCTTGATCTCCACGCCGTTGCCCGTTGTCGTGAAGTCTTGTAAGGGCTGGGCTTCCTGGGAGTTTTACATCACTGGGATACCCTGGATGGAGGGATGGAGCCCAGCCTCTTCCTGTCTGTCTTCAGCGGCATGGCTGTGAGACAAACAATGTTCCAGACATTTTGGCCCTGACATTCTGTCCCATCACTGGCCAAAAGCAACAGGTCCAAACATGGACAGAAACCTCTAAGTGTAAGCCAAAATAAAACCTTTCCTCTTTTAAACCAATTATCTCAGGTATTTTGTTATAGTGATAGAAATCAGCAAACAAAAGCCTTTTCACATATGATTTTCCAAACTCACTTCCGTCTGTCTTAGGAGCCTTAAGTTTAAGATGGGTTCTTTTTATTTAAACGCTTCCAGTGGTTTTGCGCCCTGTTCTTGTGTTGGGGTGTCAGGGGTGACACTTAAATATTCTTAATTTAAAATACTGGAAGCAATACTCCTTTCACTAAAATATACTTACTTCAAGAAACAGGTTTTGAAATATATTTATGTAATTATTTTTCAACCTGTTAGCAATCCTATGCTAAAAAGGGGAAGATATGTACTTCTATAGCATTGCTTATATAAATAACAATAATTTAAAAAAATTATTTAATTTGCTGGCCAGTAATGTTCTAAATACAAGTTAAAAGACTGATAGGTATCAAGTCAAGCATTCTTTAAAGACCAATGTTCAAAAATTAAATTGGTAAGACAAATAAACCAGGTGTTGACTCATCTAAAAACCCCTTAACTTAAATAGAAGCACTCAGTTCTCTTTAAGCAATTTGATTTAAGGCAGCTCCCCAAGGGGCGCACACTGACGTATGAAGAAGGTACGCTGACAGACTATCTGAAGACCCAGGTATTTAGCAAAAGACTCGAGACAGCATTCCCTTAAGCACAGTTTTTTAGACTCATTAATTTAGCTAATAGGAGAGTGCCAGGTGTTCAGGGCACTATCACTCACTCGAGAAAAGCCTTTACACCCTCGTTGGCCAGTGAAGACCTCTGCTTTCACAGCTCTGAATCACACAGTGAGTGTGCCCAGAACCACGTGGCGACAGGCTCTTTTGCACGCTCTGCCTTTACACTTACCCTGTCATCCTGCATGTCTTTCAGCCGTCTGGAAAGGCTGACCCAGACGTCACACTACCCACACGCAGGGACATGCCCATGTCACTTTCAACCACTGCACAGCACACGCACAGCTGACCCGACTGCACCCCTGGTTCTCAGGTGCCAGGTGCCCCAGGCTTTCCTGAAAACACCAACTTTTCTGAACATTTTTCAAGTTCCATTTCAGCTTGCTTAGTTCACTGATGATACACAACACACCCACATGCTGAAATTCATGCCAAGAGACCAGAGAGGATGAATAACCTAAAGGAGCCAGGAAGTCTCTAGAGAAATCAAGAGTCTGGGCTCCCAGAGGCCTTCTTATTACAACTGTAGATCCTACCACCCCGGGGGAACTCGGGGAGGCTTGCACACGGCCAGATCTAACCATGCAGCATCCTGGAAATACCTGCAGGCCTGAGCCAGCAGGGCTTGGATGATCGCCACCACACGTGACATCTGCCAAGCACTTGTATGATTCAGACACACTACAGAGTGGCTCCGCGGTACAGTCCACAACATTTCAGTTAATTATACTTGTAAAATAGTCGGCAGTGAACAAAGCCGGCTGAAAGCTCAGCAGGTCTGGGAAGCATAGGGCCCAGGGTCACCTCCCAGTGTTCAGAAGATGCCCACCAACATGTGCAGGTCTGCCAAGGCACTCCCACCAACAGGGAAAGGCGCCGTGGTGCCCACCTTCTCCTGGACTTTTTAACATTTTTTTAGTTTCCAGTCCTCCCCTGCTCTCTAAACACCCTCCAGGTACCCCGTCTCTGGGTCTGGGTCAGCGACCCGGTCACCATGGGCTGGCTCCTGCAGAGCACTGTGCCCCCTGAGGGCAGGTCAAGGGAAGGAGGAGCATCCTGCACTTGGGCCTCCTGCTAGACGGCCAGCCCTCAGTGCTGTGATGTCACAGCTGGCGCCTAGAGTACTTATGCCAACAGGGTGTCCCTGCCAAGAAGTCCACTGATCGTGAACATCGCAATAAGCCAGTATGTGCCAAGATGCTTGGGCTGAGAGTGACCACTGAAAGGCACCAGGAGAGATATGGCAGGGCCATCTTCAAGAATCCAGCACCCAGGGCTGGGGCTCAGGGGTAGAGGCTCACCTTGCATGTGCGAGGCCCTGGGTTCTATCCTCAGCACCAAATAAAAATAAATAAGTGAAATAAAGGTATTGTGTCCAACTACAACTAAAAAATAAATATTAAAAAAAGGAACCAGAGCTCCAGGGGCACAGTGCTCACCACGGCCTCCACGAGGCAGCCTGAGGATCACTGCAGACGAGCCGAGTCCAACCACAGAGTCAGGAAGATCAGAACGAGAGTCACAGCCCAGGCCAGGCCAGCACCATGAGACTGTAATGGTACCGAAGTCCCCACGGGAACTCAGAGTCAGGAATACCAGACAAGAGTCACAGCCCAGGCCAGGCCAGCCATCGTGAGACTGAAGATGGCACCGAAGTCCCCTGCAGAACTTAGTGTTAGGAAGATGGGGAAAGAACCACAGGTCGGCCAGGCCAGCAGCGAAGGTTCCCACCGAGGTCCACATGGAGTTCAAAGCAGGTGAGTGACTCTCAACGTGAAAAATGGACCAAAGGAGCGCCCTACCACAACCCCACGCCCCGCGAGGAAGTGTTCAGGAGGCAGCGCCTACTGCCACGACCCAGGGGAGAGACCAGAGAGGCAGAGGGGACACAGGGGAGTGGGGGCAGAGCAGGCCCACGTGCCTTGGGTAAACAGAGATTTAAAGGTTGCTTCTTGGCCTACTTCTTTCCCCCTCATTTTATTCTGCTTCAGCACACTTTGATTCATTCCTCTAATTCTGAGTATCCCGAGCACTTGGGTAGGAAGCCAGGCCCAGTGGCACACACTGTCGTCCCAGCTTCCTGGGAGCAGAGGAGGAAGGACTACTTGAATTTAGGATTTCAAGGCCAGCCTGGGCTACCCTGTAAGACACCCTCTCAAAAAAGGAAAAAAAATCAAACATGTGAATAAGAAAAGGGGGAGGAGATATCTCATTAACAAAATACTTCCCCTTAAAGCTTTATAAAGTACACAAAAATGGCAATTTCACAGGTGGCCATTCAAATCCTGGCTCGCTCTCCTACCACTGATTTACTCTCTGATGATGACTTCTAACGTTCACAATGCACAACACCTCATTCAGTCCTCGTGACAACTCAGACAGGTGTAGGATTTCCATAGCAACCAGAAGTCAGCAGACCACACCGCTAGACGTCTGAGCTCAAGACGCATTTAGCTCACCCGGCACCTCCCTGGACAGACTGGAAGAGACACCCCCTGCTCAGCAGAGCCCAGGCTCCCCTACCTTAGATCACAGCCCTGGCTGTGCCTGAAGCCCCACCCCCAGTGCAAGTCATGGGACAAAGGGGGGATCAGGAGAGCCCGTGGTTGGGAGGACAGACTCTGGGTTAACCACCGTTAAGTCACACAGAGAGCAGTGATTCAAACGGAACACTGGACCGAGAAGGAGCTCTTCACCAAGAGTGAGAATGTGAGTCAAGGGTAAGGCCTCCCTAGGTAAAGCCTTCCTTAGATCCGAGGGCAACTAGCTCTCCCTGGTGGACAGAGAGCTCAACTGCGCGGCTGCCAGTGTTTCCCACCCCACCTCCCTGAAGTGCTGGGCTACACCTGGGGAAGGGGAGTCCGCCAGCAGACATCCTGCGCCATTTCAGTGTGGGCTACCTTCTGAGAAGACACACAGGCACAGAGCTAACTGCCCAAATCATGTCAGCAACTCTACACCTGAAAATCTGCCGGTGACATGGGGGAACTCTCTGAAGGCTTCTTAAATTATATATAAACCCAGGATTTGTTGAAGACAATAAATGTATCAAGGGTTATTATAAATGAGTTTCCTCTCATGCAATAGAGCCAATTTTCTATTTTGTAAAAGCAACAATTTTTTGATCTACGAGAAATCACCTAAACTCTAACAAAACTTAACTACAAAAATAATAACTATTTTTCCATAAATACTTATTTCATACCTGTTGCATAACAGGCACTTAACTAGATACTACTGCACTGCTAGGCCAAGAATAAAAAAAGACACCACACAGACCCCGCAGCGATCGCAGGTGGAGTGGGAATGCAATGGGAGAGAATTTAAAAATACACAAAATGATTACCAGCAATTACTTTAGGAAGAGGAAGCTGGGGTAGGAAAGGTCTATATTTCACTAAATAGTCTTGAGAGAGAAAGAGAACCTTTCATTTACCCAATGAAATTTTAGTTTTAATATATAAGTAAAAGCCAAATCAGTATGTTAGCCAAAACAGACTCTTGTTCTTGATCTATCAGAAACGGTTACAACTTGAGCATGCAGACTTAATATGCAACCTTGAACTTATAGAAGGAACTTCTTGTTTTAACTCAGGCAATAACATGCGCTCCTAAGAAAGGACTCTTTGTGGGCCACGTCTGGCTGCGTGTTAAATATGGCATAGCCGTCCCTCTGGTCATAAAACCCCAGCTCAGCTTTCATGGGGACATGCTGGCCCACCCGTCCCCTGGAAGTGGTGGGCATGAGCACAGCCATACTGGCCTCCTCATACAACTGGGTGTGAAAAAACAAGGAGGGCATATCAAATTCATTCAACAGAGAGAGACAGAGAACTGGGTCTGTTCCCACCATTACCAACACTTAAACGCCTCCCCACGGGACTGTGTGTACCTCTCAAGCAGTTTTTTTGAAAACCACAAATGTCCTGAATGTTAATACCCCTGAGTTTACTACAAATTGATAAAAAAAAAAAAAAAATTTAAAAGGACGCCAATGGTTCTAAAGGAAACGGAACTTCAAAAGCATTTTCCAACACAAAGAAGTGAAATGTAAATTTAGTGGCATTTTCAAGGATGAGGATCTCTTTTCTAGAATCAACAATACAAGATCATATCTTCACATTGTGAGATAATTAAAACCATGTGTTTAAGAATAGGGAAGGCAGCAAACTGGGTACTCAGAGATTTTTTTTTTTTAATTTTAAAAACTTTTTATTTTAAACTGATTTTAGACTTACAGGAATATAGTTGCAAAAACAGAAGACAATTCCAGAATATTTCTCACCCTGCTTTCCACCATGAGATTTTAAAAGTTTTAACAAACGAGTCTCATTGTGAGTTTCTTACCTAACGCAGCATGACTTTCTGGCTGCCGACTCTTCCCCAAACAGGCCATCATTTCTGAATATGGATCATTCCACCAAGGATTATACTTCAAAATCTGTTCGACTGCCTCATCTTCAAAGAAGTCAGCTCTGAGGAGGAACAGTGATTGGCTCGTTAGGCAGGACTAGCTGGCTTCCATCTCTCCAGTTTTATCTTCATTCATCACATTTCCACCACAAACATGGACTGTTAATCCAGAGTTGTCTCGAGGAAAGACGGAGTCCTTATTTACTCCTTTCACTACCCCCCCACGAGACTGTGTGCAAGCCGACATTTGTGACATTTGTGATCTCTTTCAACAGAAGCACTGGACGGTCATCCTGACCTCAAGGCACATCCCCCTTCAATGTCCTGGGAGAAGTGAATCTGAACACACTCACTGAAACCCAGCACTCGGGCTAGGATTTCACGCACCACAGATTTTGGTAAGGTGTCAATAAAGGAAAAGACCTTTCAAACCACCAGCAAAGGAAAACAGAGCAGGAAATTCAGGAAAACTTCACAGAGAGGCGCGCGCACACAAACACACACACACACACACACACTTTTTATCATGTGCATGGATACTTTCTACGACAATGCAAGCTATTTTACTGGGTTTGCTAACAGTTCCTTGATTTTAAATTACTGAGAAAGATAAAAGAAGTCAGCTTTGTAAAGAACAGAAAACTAATTTTCCTGAACTCCACTTTCTCAGTTTTAACTAGAAAAACCACAGCTATATTTAAAATATACGTCTCACTCTCGGAGGACACTTACTCAGAAAATATGCTATCTTGCATTCAAGGCTGGAAACTGGAATTCTTGAGAAAAGAGTGAGAAAGCATAACTCATGAAAAATTTTGTCTATGTTTCAGACAATGAGAAATTCAAGGAAATGGTTGCTTTGATAAATCAAATTTGCTAGCTGATATTTTTATGACTTTAGATACTTTTTTCTTTCATCTGAGATACTGAAATCTTTTGAAAATCAGAAAGACCAGGTAAGAACTGAGTCCATCCTTGGTTCCAGCCACAGCTCTAAGTGCTGGGCACCCATTCCCTCCTTCCCTCCTCCCACCATCACCATGGGTGTGTGGGAGGGGCTGTTAAAACACCCATTTTACAGGAGGAAACTGAGGCCTGGAGAACTGTGAGCTGGTAGGAAGTGTGGCCAGGATGTGGGCCCACTTGAGCCTTGCTCCAGAATCCAAGCTCCTACAAACACAAACTTCCTGTTTTTGTTTTTCTAATGAGGAAATAAAAAAATATGGGTCAAGACTGAATAGTATCTTAAACAGGAATTCTCAAATCCATTTTCACCAGGCGCACAAAGCACATGGCACTAGGGTAAAACAGTGGCTTTACAAACGAATCCTCTTTTCTTATTGGCTGTTTCTTTTTCCTTAAAGTGAACAAAAATTCTTTTGAATTGAAGTTCTACTATAGACTCATTCTCAAATCAAGAGGGCTGGACAGAATATTCTGGGCCAAAGAATAGTTGTCAAAATCCAGGTAACAATGCCACACGTTGAAGAAAAAAGTGCTGAGAGGAGATGAAAATAATATGCTGTGGTGACAACAATCTTGTAATTCATGTTTAAAAATATAGGGGTTTGTCTGTGAGAACTGAATACTTGAACTCTCACTATGGGAATGACACGTTGAAGGAGCCAACAGGAGGAGGAGAAACAGTAGTGGCCGCAGGAACAGCGTGGCAGTGGACATGAGCGAAACCACTCCCAGAACCCTAGGGTGAGGGGCAAGGGGTTAAGGAACTAGAAGAGTCAACAACCCAGTGGACACCCACTCTGTCATTGAGACGGGGCACAGGCTTGGGACAGGCTGAGTTCCGGTGCCCTTATGTGACATAAAAACAGACCTGTCCAACAGCAGCTGGACACGTAAGTTGGGTACTTGAGGAAGGCACGGGAGTCACGAGTATTTGGAGCAAGGAAGAGGACAGACCCACCCAGGAAGAAGGGCACAGTGAGAGACAAGGGCCTTGGACCCTGGAGCACTGGGGACGCCTCAGGCAAGGCCGAGGGCCCCCAGCTGCCCCCCCCAGGGCAAGTCTGCTGGGGAAAGCCATCACCTGGCGTGGTGGATGGCTCTCCTACCCCCTATTTACCCACCTCCGCCAACTCTCTATCTAACTGGTGACAGTGAATAAGATCCACTACTCCTGTTCCAGTAATCCAACGGGGTGCGGTCCACTAGGTCCGTGAAATACGAGTTTCCTAAGAAGATTCGAGGCTCGGGTTCTCCTTTCCAGCCAGGAGTACCAGGTGCAGGCGGGAGACCCCGCCCTAGCACAGGATCCGCCCAGCCCTGCGGTGGACAGGGCTGAAGGGCCCCGGCCTGGGGAGCCGGGCAACACGTCGGTCAACCACGGAAGGCTGAGAAGGGGGGTGAGGACAAGGGAAAGGAATGGCACAGCCGTGGGACTGAGGGATGTGGGGCAAAGGAAGAGCCCAGAGGAGTCCTGGCTTGGGAACCTAGGCGGCTGGGCTGGGAAGTGGGGCAGGACGAAGGCTTCAGAGGGGACGGGAAGAGTCCCCTGGGTCGAGCCGAGGCAGAGGAGTCAGTGCCTGGTGTGGTCGTGCTCCAAGCCCTAGGCGGCTTCTTCACAGCCCTCGTCACCACAGAACTGTCCCCTACTGCCCTCACGGCAACAGGCCCCTGTGAGCCAGACCACCATCCTCGCCACCACGGTGATCCCCTTGTGCCCGCGGCACTGCCTGGCACGCGGCTCACTCAAACAAATGCCTGCCATGCTTAACAAACGCTGAATAACGTGACTTGTAAAGGGTCCCAAATGGTGGATGGTCACTTTGTCCTATTTTTATCTCAGAGATGTTCATAATTTTGATTAAATTCTACTGTTGTCTCCCAAAGAAAAAGGCAAGGTCTCATGAATTGGTTAAGGCAAAGACTATGTCAACAATTAGATGACAACTTAAGTGTGTCATATGCCCAGCACTGTGCGGCCACAAAACCCACCAGGAGAGAAGTCCCAGCACGGAAGCACCCAGAGAGTACAGCACAGGGTTTTAGAAATAATAACCCACAGTCAATTATTTTTGCCTTTGAAATTTATAAATTCCTTTCTATAATCAGTGGACCTCACTATGTTCTGCTTAGGCTGAAATCAGTTAGCTTTCATCATATGCCCCCCAAAACCTGACATCCTGAGACCTCATGACCTCTAAGGACAGGTTAGACGACTAAAAACAGGGACTGCACAATGCAGCATGAATTAGTGTCACAGGTAGACGTTACCCACGCATATGGAAGGGGTAAGAGCATGAGAGCGATGCACCACCTCGGGGTCACAGGACACAAAGGGACAGGTTTTCTAAATTGTATTAACCATTAACAAAAAAAGCGCTGAACTAAAATTTTTTAATTGAAAATTTACAAGAACTTTGTGTTTCATGAAATATAAATGATATTTGGGCAAGTCAGCCAGCTAATATGAATAACGAGTAAAGGATCCCACAAATCACAACTAGCCAAAGTCTTACTGCCTCAGAAGTCACCAGGAACCTGGACTCTGTGACTGCACTCTTCTGCCCCAGCCCAGGACTACGGAGGCCCCTCCTGTAAGAAGTCCTCGGTGAGCAAGGGAGAGGACCCTTCCCACACGCTACTGAAGAAGGTGAGCTTCCAGACAAGAAACAGAGGTGCAGAACAAGGGCTGCTTCCAATACCACCCTGCCAACTCTTGTTCTCCATCTCCCAGTTCTCTCGGGGCACACTCTCGTTCTTCCAGCTTCAAAATAGACAGTTCTAATTAAGGCCCCCCCCCACCTGAAATTTCAGTCTTGTAAAGCTCATTCTGTTTTCATGCTGGCCGGAGAAATCTGCTGACCATGAAATTTCCACCTTAAATATCCAGCATGATTTTAAATGGGTTTCTTCAGATGACTCTTCAGTGGACCTTTAAAACCACAACTGGAGAGAGAAAGGTGATTAGAAATGGCAACGTGAATGGAGCTCAACCTCTCCGACGCCCTCCAAAACGCAACACAGCCCGCTCTCCCTCGGCTGCCTTAGGGTAGTGAGGAGGTCCACCCACCATCGTCACACATCACAAACAGATCTCTGCCAGTCCAGTCAGCATCCTTGTGTCACAGGAGACAGCATGTTAATCACAGAGCAACCGTAGTTCAACCACAATTGTGTACACAGAAAGGAAATACCAGTGACAAGTGCAGAGACTCTCCAAGTCCTGGCCAGGCCCCTTGGCAGCAGCATGACCTTGGTCAAGTTTCTGCACTTCCTTTCCTCGTCTGCTGTGAAAACTAAATCAAATAATCCCACGAGAGCACTTGATAAATGAAAGCCCAGTATGGACATGCGGGGCCGTGATGATTAAGTCGCAGTGTAGCAGTTGGAGCCGTCGGCCTCGGGGAAGGTGAGGGAGGCCCAAGTCGACGCACAGGCCCATCCTCCACAAAGGGGCCACGAGGATCGCACAGGGCTGCTGTCATCACGACCTCTCCAGTGATGGCGAGTCACGTAAGCGTGCTGTGTGAATGGAGCCTGAGAGAACGGCGCTCTGGCCAGACACCACTAAGGCAGGGGAGAAGCGCAGCCAGACTGCAGCCCACAGGTTCCCCTCGTGCTCCACCACAGGGACACACACTCGTTACCTGAACAGACTGCTCATTACAGGGAAGACCCTGAGCCAGCAAGAAATGCAGGACCTGAGGTTCAGCCTCGTCAGGAAACGGAGACATTCCTTCATCACCCTATACCACCGAACACAGCAAACGTCTACTTAAAAGGAGGGTAAGCATTCTCATGGATTCACTCTTTTCTTACTCATAGTGAGAAAAACCTCAAAAAAGGATGCTAGGGAGTCCTCTGTTGCTAGGGTGAGCGACAAGACGCGAGAGTTTACAAAGATCACCACCTTGGGGGCAGCTGCAGCTAACCCCAAGGTCAATTAAGTTTTCAGCCACGACTAATTTCCAGCATCCAAAATGTGTCCAATCTGTAGAGTCAGACACTCCTAAATGGATGACAATAAACTCTTTAGTCCTCAGAAAGCTCAGTACTCACAGATAATGATCAGGGTCGAATTTAGCCAGCTCGGCAGCCAGGCGCTTCTGCCTTCGCACAGCCGCAGGGGTAGAATCGGGATCCTTAACATCAATGACGTCACTCAGCTCATCCTAAACACGCAGAAAAAGAAAGATAATTTGCTATCTTCTATTTTTAGCATTTTAAAACTCAACTTTTTCAAGGAAAAGAAATAGCAAAACACAGGAGAATCTTAATGGATCAATAAACTATGATGGTGCCCGTGACCCAGAGATTCGGATCAGGCGGATGACTGTGAACCGCGCAGCACTCCCTAGGCCCTGCTTGAGGTGATCCATCTAATCCTTACAGCAAGCAAACCGGTTAACATTACTTCAGCTCCAACAGCTTGACAGGAAGCCACAATGGAATATAACCCCTGCAGCAAACAGGACGCTTGGTTCTCCATCATCTCCCAAGTGACGGAGATGCCCCTCAGGTCTGAAGGCTGAGTACAGACAGCCACCTGCTGCTTCCTAAGTCTAGCTTGGCAGGTCTCACAGAAGAGTCCTCACAGGAGGCCGCACACACAAAACTGACACGTGCTACTCTGGAGGTGGAACTGACTAGTTTGTTTTGTTTCGTTTTTCAGTACTGGGGACTGAACCCAGGGTCATTTTACCACTGAGCTACATCCCCAGCCCTCTTCTGTTTTGAGACAAGATGTCACTATGAGTTGCCAGGGCTGGCCTGGAACCTGTGATCCGAGTAACTGGGATGACAGGAACGCACCACCATGCTCAAGTGATCAAAGAACTTTTGTGGGCTATTTTGACGTATATGACTTTCCATTGAAAAATCTAAGAATCTAAGAATCAATTTTACCATAACTGTCATTACAGAAAAGAGTACATGTTAATACATGGCATGTTTTCCAAGAGGAATCCTACTGAAAATATGTACATTAGAAAACTGCCTAGCATACCATATTGTCTTTATTCTTTTGGTCACAATTGTGAAGCAAAGAAACTTATACAATATAAAATATCCCATGACTGTGCTTCTCCTTTCTTCAACCGCCCCATCTCCACCACCACACCCAGGTGAGAAGTAGAGAAGGTGAAAGAAGCCTAAAGGACATTACTTGAAAAGAAATCAAAGGAAACACCTAGCTGGTCAAATAACAGCGATAATATTTAATCTTAACACATTCTAATACAATCAAAGGGACCAGAGACACCTTTGGAAGTCACTGGAACATCTAGAATACCTTAATATTTCCAAGTACAAACATTTTGGGCAAAACCAGATTTCTGACCAACCCCAAACTTATAAAAAATTTGCATTCCAAAAGCTTCCTTGCAATTTTCTTTTTGGAAACCTGTCTTTTTTTTAAGTTTAATATTTTACTAGTTGTTGATGAACTTTTATTTATTTATGTGTTTATACGTGGTGCTGAGACTCGAACCCAGTGCCTCACACAGGCTAGGCAAGTGCTCTACCACGGAGCCCCAGCCCCTAACATATATTTTTCTATAGAAATACTAGTAAACAGTAGCTAGATTCTCAGGGCAAGCCACAAGTTTGTGCCCTGTGCAATAACCCTTACATAGAGGACCCCGACAGGGACAGCCCAACAAGCATGCAGCAGTGTCTGCCTGGGAAGTACGTGCAGAGAGAGAATCCACCAGAAAAGTCTCCCAGGGTAGCACAACCTGGGTCCTTCCTGTCTCCCTGTGCTTCCTCACTACCTGAAACTAGCGTGTGCAGCCAGACTGGGTGGGGTGCTGGCGAAGGCTTGGGAGAGGAGGTGTTAAGAGTCCATCTGGGTTCACTGGCTGGAGAACACTAGAGCCACTTCCCACCCCTGGATGCCAAGTCCCTCCCCGGCACCCGAGGGCCACCCCTTTTCCTCCCTTCTTCCAGCCCCAAGGAGTGCCCTGGTCCCTACCCTCACTCTACTCTCCCCAGATACTTCTGAAGACAGTCTGATGAAGGGGAAGGGCAGCGTGGAGTGAGGCCTGCCCAGCTCTGCAGCCCAGCTCCAGTTGTGCCACCCACTGGGAACCCCAGCCTGCTGTGTGAGATGAGTCTCAAGGCACCTCCATCATGGGACTGGGATTAGGTTCCCCTGCTGCCTCTGCTGTGGCGATCACCACCAATTTACTCTCCTACAGTTCTAGAGGTCAGAACTCAAAATGGGTCTCATTGGGCTGAAGTCACTGGCTGGGCTGCATGCCGCTCTGCAGGGTCACAGGAGAATCATTTCTTCGCCTTCTCCATCTGAGAGGTGTCCTCATTCCTTGGTCTGCAGCCCACATCATGAGACCCTCGCTCTCAGGTTTCTGTCATCACGTGGCCCTCTCTCTTTGACTGACCCTTGTCTCTTTAAGGACCCTGTGCTCAGACTAGGCCCACCTAGATAACGCAGGGCGCTCTCGCCATCTCAAGATCCTTCACGTGATCATGGCTGCGTGGCCCTCTGCTGTGCAGTGTAACACCTTCACAAGTCCTGGGGAAACCCCGAGGACATTTTTTTCAGAGAGGGGGTGAACCTCACTCAGTTCCACAGGGTGCTCTGGGGATTAGGGCATCGGGCATTAGCACATTCAACAGGGTTGAACTGTCCCTGGTGCCCACTCCAATGAGGCCCCCGTTACCCACAGGATCCTGCTGAGAGTACTACCCTCCCTGAGCTTCAGTTCCTCACTGGCAAGTAGAGGCAGTAATGAGCTGGGGCAGGGGTGGGGGGTCTGCTTGGTCACTGTACCTGGACCAAATGTCGGGTCATGATGGGGCACCGTCAGCACATCGTGGTACACACTGCTGCGCTGCGGAGGACCCACGCAGGCACCCACAGGCACGCCGCATGCCAACGGCAGCTCGACAGTTTGCCGTCAGCCAGGCTCCCATGCCCCAGCCACACCAGAGCCCACTGCTGCAGCACCCCAACCCCACCCCAGGCTCTGCACTGACCGTGCCCGCTCACCCTCCAGAGCGCAGCACACAGCACTCTCCTCAAGGGGCCTTCTCTGTACTGAAGTAGTAGCCCCGTCTCTCAACAGCACCACCTGTCATGACCTCACTTATCTGTTGTCTACCTGCTTACTGTGCCACCCACTAGAATGTTCCACAGGGCAGGGCCTGCTCTATCTTCTGCACTGCGCCCCGGGAACTGTGCCTGGTTTGGTTTAAACCATGAATGAGCAGAGGGCACGGGGCTGCTGCGGGCGGGTGCTGTACTGGGTGCTGGCCTGGAGACCCAGCACTACACACACAGATAAGCTTCCTGCTCTCTTGGGGGTGAGGACTGACCCATAAGCAGGCGGCTCTTTTCCTTCTCCCTCCTGTCAGGGCTCCTGTCTCAGGGCCTTCAAGTGCAGTCACAGGACAGGCACATGGTCAGCGTGGAGTTCACGGCAGTACAGGTCCTGCCCAGACCTGCTCTGCACACAGACATGGTGGGAAACTCAAATCAGACCCAAAGGAAAAACTGAAATAAACTAAAAAGCAAAAGCCAAGTTGGCTTGGAATATAAAAATGTAAGACACAATCAACAGAAGGAAACGAGGGTAAGCATTCCCCTCCTCTGCCCTGGTCCCCAGCCGTCTGAGCATTTAAGACAAGCCCTGCCAAGGAAAGCTCAGGGAGGATTTCAGTCGGGCTCATGCACACTAGCCATAGGGAAGACAGAGCAGCCCAGAGCAAGAACGAAGCCCTGCGCACACATCTGGCCACTTCGTCCCCTGGAGACAAAGGCCAGGTCCCCAGTGCAGCCAAGGGCAGCAAAGAGCCAGCAAGCCCAGTGTTCCACACCTGCTGGCAGCAGGGCCCCCAGGGCTGCTGGGTTGGCGCCCAGACTCTCTGGGACTGTGGTTGCTGGCAGACTCCGGTGCCAGAAGCTTGTTGTGCAGCCCTGACTCTGAGCAGCCAGGGACGTTTTCCAAAGGCGCCCTGGTGGCTGGCAGTAATTTCAGAACGGAAAGAAAGAAGGGTGTGTGTGTGTGTGTGTGTGTGTGTGTGTAAGGATGTGGGGGGAAGAAGAGATTATGTTTCAGAAAAACTTTTTCTTCTCATTTATCAGTATAAAACACAGACATTCACGAGCTACTTAGAAGGCTGGCAGGAAAAAACAGGAGAGACTACACCACTCGTAAAGGGTTAAGTTACTCCATGAAGACAAGATGCTTGGGTGTTGGAATTACGGAAGATTTAATTTCTTCTTGTATTATATTTTTATAATGAATCTATATTGCTTTTATCATCACAGAAAAAAATAGTCATTTTTAATTTTAGAAGGGGGAAAAAAGAAGCTGTCAGAATACAGGTAAAACCTGAGCAATGAACAAACGACAGATACCTTCTCATCCAAAGGCAGAACTGGAGAGACTGAACTTGTGAGGAAACACTGCATTTTAGAAGATGGTGAAGTTTTAAAAATTATTTTAACTTAGAAGAGATGTTCTAAGATCTGTTCCTTGTGCAATAGTTGTTTTCAGTATTTCCCACCTGCTTTACTGGTAGAAAAGGCCACACTGATCATCTACGTAGTCATTCAGTTTTCAACTGTCACACACAGGCAGCTGTGAAGACAGACAAACTCCAGTACTGCCACTCACGTAGGGCTCTGTGCCAACAGCCCGCGGGACACGAGCCCCCTGCAGAGACCAGCCTTAATGCACAGCCTTGGTCTTGGTTTCCTAGCTGTCAACGACACCATATTCCTCAAATTTAATAAGAAAATAAGATCCTCTGTAAAGACTACACATCCCCTGGTTGGTCCAAGGGTAAAATGCACACCCATCACAGGAACAAGCTGTGATCCAGCAGTGATGTGGGCCGGTGCAGAGTGCCCGGGGCCGTGCCCTCCAGGTCCTCTGAAGCGGGTGGGATGCAGGATGCAGCCCCCATCAGAGTGGAGAAGGTGATATGGTGCAGACACCACACTTTATTTAACTTCCTCCAAGAAGTCAGATGCACCCCCTGGCATCCAAATAGATCACTCTTTCTAATTTCTACAGTAAAAATTCAGAATATGCACACTACTTTCATATTTAAAAGACAACTATTAATTGTGTTATAAATATGTAACAATGAATCCCACTATTATGTATATTTATAACTCACCAATAAAAATATGAAAATATATTTAAAAACCTATATTACTTCAGATAAGGTTTTGCCACCACATTAAATATTTTTAAATGTTTCAGTTTTCAGGACTTTTGGGGGGTCCCAGTATTGCACACGTGGGGTGAAACCCTGTGCCACCAGCGGTACAGCAGGTTCACAGCTGAGCTCCTAGGACAAACGCTCATGCTCCCTCCAACTCTGAGGAAATACACAAAATGTTTATAAAAGCAATGTTCTTTCAGTTAAAACTTGAAGAAGAGTTTGATGATTTTAGACAACAGAGCTAAACGATTGGGAACTATAAACGTTAAATTCAATGGTTCATTTCTGAGGGGGAAACATAATAAGAGCAGTTAGGAACTTCAATGACACTGAGAATGTTTCCTTTTCAAGCAGGTGACAGACTTTTAACACCTGAGTGAAGGCATCAAGGTATCAAGAACATTTCACAATTACTTGTGTCTAAAATCATTCTAATAACATTTTCAATAGACACCAGCACTCTCGCAGGGCCTGAGCTGGGGCAGGCCTGTGTCCTTCAGAACCCGTCAGAAAGCCCCCAGGGCTCCTGCCTTCACAGCAGCAACAATCCCAACGCCAAGGTCCCTGGCTGGGGAGACACTTTTAACAGGGATGTACAATCTGTACTTAGACTGTGTGACATTTACTACCCTTTATTTATGGCTTTGGACTGGAAAGCCCCTAGACTGACCACCAGCTAGCTCTTGAGCAAATAGGTAAGGTCCCTCACTGCCGTTCCTACAGCTGACAAAGTGGCTCAGGTCTGACTTCCTTCGAGCCCAGCAGGGAACACGAGCAGGCTGAGGAGTAAGCAATCCGCGATGCACCAGAAAAACACCCAGGCTTTTAGGAGATATTTGACCAGCATGACTCCTGTGCAAATCTCAGTTCTGTTTCCTTTTAGGAGTCTTGAGAGCACTTTGTGTCCTAAAGACAGGAACTGTCAGAGCTTTCTACACTTTTCAGAGATTTCAAATGCAGCATCTCCTTAAATTTTCCAAACAGCCTTAAAGTCGGTGAGCACACTGACCCCCCATTTTACAAGAGAAGACAAAACATTTGTGGTCAAGTAGTTGGCACCAGCATCCCAAATTTAAACAGAGGCACACATGGAAGCACAAGCTAAGTCCTTCACCTTTCCTTGGTAAACCCAAATACAGCTTAGTACAGACTGAGCATCAGTAGCTAGAATCCCCAAATCCAACATCTCCTGAGTAGCACTCAAAAGAGAGTCTCCATGTGAGCTCCACCCAGAGGAAACGAAGAGCACCTATCCTACACCAGGATGGAGCCACCGATCCAAACACGCGCCCTCCTTCTCACTAGGAAACCATCTTATATGCATAGAAGACATTTCACATCAGAATACATCTCCATTTTCCAGAAGTACAAATCAAAGCTTTCCAGGAGGCATCTGGAGAGTTCCTCTCTGAATCAAGGGGCAGACAGCACAAGATGTCTGCGAAAGCAGTGAGGTGGGCAGACAGCCAACAGGGGGGAACACCTGGGGGACAGTTATAGGCAAGAAGTTGTGCCAGGGGCTCTCAACACACCGTCTTGATCCAAACTGCCCAGCACAAGCAGAACTGAAATAGATTGCCCACAGAGGAACCCTGCGTCCCCACTCCGCCACAGAGGCCACGTACCTGCAACCGCCGAACCACTCCTGCCCGGGAGTTCCCGAACCCGTAGCCGCACTGCGGACTCAGCGTGCCTTCTGGTACCTCTTCATAGGGGGTCTGCTCAATTTCCCAGTCAAACTCTCCATCATCGTCTTCAACTACTTCTTCAGAAGCACCTGTGTGTATTAAAAAGTAATAATTTTTAAAGTATTGGATTTCCTAGGTTAAACTAGAGGAAGAAAAAGTGTACAAAAAACCTCCCTGCAGATATGCACTGAAAGACGCGCACAAGGACAGCCACAGCTCCATTATTCACGACAGCCAAGCAACTGGAGCCAGCCCAAGTGCTCATCAGTGGCAGGACACATAAAGAAACGTGGACACCACAGAGCAATGAGAGCAGAGGGCTGCAGGAGGGACGAGGCTGTCAGAACAAGGGTGAGTGAAAAAGCTCACAGCCCGTAAGAACCACACATGCCACTCAAGCACAGGCTAAACGAGGGCAGTGGGGCCTTGGAGAGGAGCCAGGGCAGCCACACAGGTGGGGGTCAGCTCTAGACCCTGCTGATGTCCACACTGGGGAACTCCTTCCACCGTACACTTCTGATCTTAGCACAAAGCGCTAATATCCTGACTGAGACAAGACAATGTTTTAGTTGGTCCAAAAATGTGGAGCATCTGCCGGTCCAGTGGGTTCTTTACATCTCTTAATCAGAACACCAAAGTGAGCTTATGTTGCCACCTAAGATATTCTCTCCCATTTGCTACTCACTAAATCGTTTCTCCCCCAGAAACACACAGCAATCTAAATATTTTTAATTATCTCCATTTCTCCCCAACTGCAAAGCACGTACCCATTTCTTCCACAAGTGGTCTGGCTGTCCTGGGTTTTCTGGGTGCCAGAAGAGCAGTCAACATGTTCAGCCCCTCAAAATGCTCGCCAGGAGTTTCTTTGGGTAATCGAATGGTAAAAATTCCTTAAATATAAATTTGTTTTATGCTTAGACAAATTAAAACTTTCAAAGGTTTTGCAAATATACCTATGAAATATATATCTTGGTAAAACAATTTTAACTCACTAGGCTCCAAAATATGCCCTTATTACAGATTTAGCGAATACAAATCAAAACAGCAAGAGGCTCAAACAGGGCTTTTCAGGAGCTGTTACTTTTCCAGGTCAAACTGCTCAAGGACTGAATGCTTTAATCCCACCCAGAATCACCTCAACCTACTGATACTATTAAAGTTCCAAATCAAAACTCTGAACATCAATGGCCTGAGGAGGTATCAGCTTAGAATTAACCAAGAGTTACTTATAAAATATATAAATGTAAAATATATTTCTGGGCTGGGGGAAAATCAGGTATCTAATCCAAGGAGAATGCAGTTTAAAAAATATAAAATATTCTAAATAAAGCAACTGTGGCTCACAGGAGTGGCTCTGGTATCTCAGGACTCCACCCCTGAAGTCTTCTGCCAGCACACTCCAGTGTATGCACACCCCCTTCCTGACTGGTCCATCAACCTCATCCAGCCCCTACAATCCTGTAGTCACTACTCTGCATTTCAAACATCTCAGCTCTTTCAATGCATCAACTACATCCCAACATATCAGATATAACTTAACCCAAATATTTCCACGTGTTTGACCTTATTAAATGTCCGTGAACTTTCACAATTGAAAGACTTCATTTCTATATGCAACCGATCTGTAACTAAAGGTAGACTTCCTACTAGGACAGTAGTGTCACTGTTCTCATACTGCACTGTGAGAACTCTGCTTTAACAACTTCCTGCCTCTCCTCTCTCTCTACCCTGATGCATAATTATACAGCGTACACAAGACACTCTTACTACAGATCCAGTGGCTTTTAGAAAAGGAAAATAAATGGTTCCACGGTTAGCTAAAATGAGCTACTTATCAATCATGAGAAGAAATTCAATCAGGCTTTAAATGCCACCCATGGATAGTTTCTCATCTACCCGTTATTAAAATTCAACTTTGAAAATTGTACAAGAAAGATTCCATTCAAAAGCTTATGAATCATCCACACCTTTTATAATCAATCATCTCATTTTACTTTTAAACACCTACTTAATGTAGAAGAAGTACTTCTAGAAAATGGGGTCAGAGTATTTAACTCAACTTTGCTTTGAAGAAATACTGTGAAATACTTTAAAGGACTGAGGAAATTCTAACTGTCAAAAAATCACGAATAAAGGCAGCAGGCGGTACAGAGTGTCAGGAGCCCACTGTGACTGAGAGACACCTAGGTCCCCGGGTGTACTCTGGAAAGACTACATACAGACAAGCTAACAGGAAGAACCCAAGGGAAGGACCACGTGCATTCCAGAGGGGTACCTTTATCTGCGTCGTAGGATCCCTGCTCACTTCCATTCTCCACAACTCTTCCAGGAAGGGTTAGTCTGCAGAGTGAACACGGGCGTCATGAAGTCCTTTAATACAACACAACACAACACACCAGTCTATCAAAACCTATCAACCAAAGCAACTCAAGAGGCTGAGGCAGGGGGATCTCAAGTGAGAGGCCAGCTTTGGCAACTTAGTGAGTCTCCCAGAAACTTAGGAAGACCCTGTCTCAAAATAAAAAGGACTGGGGATATAGCTCACTATCTCTTCTATTTGAAAAAGCTCTTACGACTACCTGATGTTGATTCCATAATTTCAACTCATCAGTGAAACTACCAGACACCTTCCTGGCACCCCAAGGTGAAGCTGGAGCCTCTTTTCCTTCTATGCCTCACTCTCTTATTCAAGTTAAAAACAAAACACAACGTGACAGGTCCCAAATGGCCCAGACCTCACAACTTAGCTGCCACCAAGGTTTCCTCCAGCTACATGCACTGTAATGCATGTTCAGAGCCAAGATCCCTTCAAAGCCCAGAATAATCAGTTTATGAATCAGCCATAGTGGTTACAAACTCTACAGAGGCTGAGCTGACTCAAGTCTCAGCTCTGCCACTCTTCAGCTATGGAACCTGGCTGGACAAGCTAGTTAAGTTCCAGAATCCTAAGACCTCATAACAGCACCTATCTGCAGGTTACCATGAGAATGAAGCAACAATGCAGAGAGCTTAGTGGCCAGCACAGCAGGTGAGCTTTCAGAAAACATAAGCGCTGCTGCTAAACCCCTTCTCCCAATCCCTTTATAGGTACAGTTATATTCTTACTGCATAGTAATAAAAATCATGTGTTTGCAGGTGTGCCTTCCCAGCTAGACCTGAAATTCCTTAAGGAGAATGACAACTTTTATTCACCTCTGATACACTGTAGCAAGCTGTATTTTCAAAGACTGCCATCTCACATCACTACTCCCAACCACAGGGTCAACATCCTTTCCTCTTAAAATTCAGCAGGCTTCTGGGGCTGTTTTGATCAATACCTTAAAGCAGAGGTGACATGACACTCTAACCTTTCTGAAGTGCTGTGGTCTTAAAAGTTGATATAGATTCTGCTCTGCTTGCTGGAACTGTTCTTGAAAACTTCAGATGCTTGTTATAGGTCCAAATCTCCCAAGGAAACACCAAACAGACATGTAAAGAGACCACGTGGGGAGGTCCTAGGAGACTACATGAAGACAACTCCACTAGCCTCCAGCTGTTACATCCCTTACTAACCTATATTCCAAGCCACAATTTAAACACAATGGCATTAAAATCTTTAAAGCCAAGCCAGGTACGCTGGGGCATGCTTATAATCCCAGCAACTTGGAATGCTGAGGCAGGAGGATTACAAGTCTGAGGCCAGCCATGGCAACTTAACAAAGTCCTGAGCAACTTAGCAAGACCCTGTCTCAAAATAAAAAATAGAAAGAGCTGGGGATGTGGCAGAGTGGTTAAGGGCCCCTGGGTTCAATCTCCAGTACCAATAACTAACTAACTAAATTAATTAATAAATAAATAAATAAACAAACAAACCAACCAACCAACCTTTAAGCCAGAACAGCCCAGCCAAACCCTTACCAAATTCCTTGTTCACAAAAGTAGGGTAGATAATAAAAAAAACTATTGCTGTTTTACACCATGAAGTTTGACGGGTTAGCTGGCAACAGATAACTGGCACCATGAGCCCTCAATAAGTAATAGTATGGTGGTCCTCCTTATCTACTTTAATTTTCTATGATTTCAATTACCCACCCCAGCTCCAAAAATACAGTATAGTACATATGATAGTACAGTACAAATGAGAGTCTGAGAGAACACACTGACATAACTTTTATCACAGTATACTGTTATAATATCAATTTTATTATTATCGTTCATTTCTAAAAATTAAACTTTATTTTAGGTATGTAAGTACAGGAAAAAATATAGTATATACAGGGTTGATTGCAGGCATCCACTGGGTCTTGAAACACATCCACCAACAAGGGGAGGATTGTATATTCCAGCAGGTAGATAAGTTAGGGTCTAACTGAAATCCAGGCAGAGCGTTTGAGGCACTGTGAAGGAACTGGCTTGACTGGAGGGGAAGGTGTGTACTACACAAGTACTTGACCAAGAAACGCAGGCTGGAGCCACACAGAAGAGAGATCAGGACAATGATGTTAACCTAGTCAGAAGGGGAACTGGCAGTGTCCTAGGAAGAATAATCTGCAGTGTCCCCCGTAGCATGGGGCTAATAGCAGTGCCTAATCTGCAAGGATCTCTGTCAAAGTTAAATAAGATAAGGCACAAATCACATGACAGGCGTGATTTGGCCCACCTCTCTGAGGATGAGCACAGCGAGCTGTAGATGCTATTGCCACAGTTCTGCAAGGAGCTACACAGAAGAGAGATCAAGACAGTGATGTTAACCTAGGAGAACAATCCTAACAGGCAAGTTCTGGCAACCCTCACTGAACGAGGAACAACCCATCAATGAAAGGGCACATGGGGAGGCAGGGGGCCTGGTAAGGGGCACGACTGAGCAGGAGAGGTACACAGGGGGGAGAGCGAGCACCTGGCCAAGGGGCACAGCCCAGCATCGAGTGGAACATGGGGAGACGGGGGAGACAGAAGACCTGGCCCATGGGCACGACCAAGCAGTGGAGCGGCACACAGGGAAAGAGCAAGCACCTGGCCCAGGGAACGGTGGAGCAGCGAGCGGCGCACAGGGAGGTGGAAGCGCCTGGCCCGGGGGCACCACCAAGCAGCACAAAGGGCAAGAGTGAGCGCCTGGCCCGGGCACGGCAGAACAGCGAGGGGCTCGGAGAAGCTGCAGCGCCTGGCCAGGGGGCACCACCAAGCAGCGCGGCAACGCACAGGGCAAGAGCGAGCGCCTGGCCTGGGACGCGGCAGAGCAGCGAGGGGCGCACCGGACAAGAGCGAGCGCCTGGTCGGGGTATGGCCGAACACCGAGGGTCGCACGGAGAGACGGCAGCGCCTGGCCAAGCGGCACCACCAAGCAGCGCACAGGACTAGAGAGAGCGCCGGGCCCGGGGCACCACCAAGCAGCGCAGCAGCGCACAGGGCAAGAGCGAGCGCCGGGCCCGGGGACCACCAAGCAGCGCACAGGGCAAGAGCGAGCGCCGGGCCCGGGGCACCACCAAGCAGCGCAGCAGCGCACAGGGCAAGAGCGAGCGCCGGGCCCGGGGCACCACCAAGCAGCGCAGCAGCGCACAGGGCAAGAGCGAGCGCCGGGCCCGGGGCACCATCAAGCAGGGCAGCAGCGCACAGGGCAAGAGCGAGCGCCGGGCCCGGGGCACCATCAAGCAGGGCAGCAGCGCACAGGGCAAGAGCGAGCGCCGGGCCCGGGGCACCATCAAGCAGCGCAGCAGCGCACAGGACAAGAGCGGGCGCCGGGCCCGGGGCACCATCAAGCAGCGCAGCAGCGCACAGGACAAGAGCGGGCGCCGGCCCCGGGGGCACCACCAAGCACCGCAGCAGCGCACAGGACAAGAGCGGGCGCCGGCCCCGGGGGCACCACCAAGCACCGCAGCAGCGCACAGGACTAGAGCGAGCGCCAACCCCGGGGGCACCACCAAGCAGCGCAGAAGCGCACAGGGCAAGAGCGGGCGCCGCGGAGGCGGGATCGCCGGGCCGACTCGGAGTCCGGCGGATGCGGGCGCCACCCGGGGGAGGAGGCGGGTGGACTGGGCGGAGGACCGGGAGGCGGCGGCGGCGGCGGCGGGGCGCTCCCGGGCCACGGCACGCGCACTCGCCTCAGGAAGTAGGGCTTGGCGTAGAACTTGAAGTCCGCCCCCTCGAAGTACACGTCGAACTCCGAGGCCCGGGCGTAGGGCACGCGGATGGCCACCGTCAGGAAGTCGGGGTCCTGGCTGAGCTCGAACGCGGGGGTCAGCATGGCCGCGCCGCACGCCTGGCAGCGGCGATCGGGATGCCGGACTTTCAGACAAGTCCCGCGCTCCAGGCACCGCGCCGCTTCCGGCGCAAGGCGGAAGTGTGCACCGCGGTGCCGGAAGTCCCGCCCCTCGTCGGGCTCCCTGGAAACGCGCCCCTTTAAAAGGAGCCGCGGCGCTGTCTCCGGAGCCCAGAAGGGTTGGGAGGACCCCGAGGGGTGGTCCGCCGCGACTTCTCCGGGCGTCCCTGGTGACGTTGCAGGTGGACAGACGTTTCCGGTGTGAAACCTCAGGGAGGCCCTGTGCCTCGGAAACCTCTGCTGTGAAACGAGGCTAGGCCGGGCGCGGTGGTGCCGCCTGCTGTCCCCGCCGCTCTGGAGGCCGAGGCTGGAGGATGCAAGTCCGAGGCCAGCTCAGCAACATAGCGAGGCCCTGTCGCAAAATAAAATGTGAAAAGGGCTGGGAGTGTGGCTCAGTGGCTAAGCACCCCTGGGTTTAACCCCCCAATACCTAGTAGTGGTGACAGTAGTAGTATTAATAATCATAAAACGAGCTAGCCTCGCGGAAACGCTGTGAGGGTAAGGTGACCTGGCGCATGCTGAGCTCCAGCGTCGCAGCTCCTGCTGTCAGCGCTCAGTGTGGTGCAGCAGGTGCCGCCGAGGTTTCCCTTAGTTCTCACGTGTCTTTCAACGATATGCACGCACTCCCTCCCTTCCTTCCCGGCTCTCCTTTCTCTCCACTTTTTACATAATCCCTTATATAGGGTTTGTCATTAGCAGAGTCTCCAGTGTGACATCTGGTCCACGCTATGAACTCCAAAGAAAACTGGGCGCAGAGAGGTTACGAAATATGACTTATAGTCTTGCCGTTTGCAATGATGAGAAACCAGAACGTCTGGCTCTTAAACCGAGGCCATGTCTGAGCTGAGGAATCGTGGTCCCTCTGGATTTTACCCGGTTTCCTTCTTGTCACTCTTCCCCTCCCACTTGTCAGAGGCTGGCTTTTCTCTTTTTTCCCTTCCCTGCATGTACTCCCGTTAGTCTGTGTTCCTCTTGGTCTCCCATTGCCCCTCCCACTAGTCTCCCACTTCTATATATTCCCTTGGACTCCTTTCCCTCTCATTCAACTTTTTTTCCTGTTATTTCTCCAGTAATTAGCATAACCCAGTTATCATTCCCAGGTTTCAGATGTCAGTGGGAAAGGGATGAAAATTATCTTTTTTTTTTTGAAAATTATCTTAACAAGACATCTTCAAGAGTCTTTTTAACAACTGGTTTTCTATGCTTGTAAAGAAGTCTTGAAACTTAATTAGGATTTAGAAAAAAATAATAACAGGAGTTATTAGTGTTAGTTGAATACTTATTACGTACCTGCACTGCAGCAGACCCTATATATGATCTCATTTTCCCTCCCAGCAGCTCTGTGAAGAAGGCGTTCCATTTTCCCTCAGCCTGCCCGGGATGCTCATAAGTGGTTCCATGGGAATTGAAGCCTAGGTAAGTGTGACTCCCAGGTCCAGGCTCTGAACTACTGCCGAGTTGACTCCCTCTCATACGACCTCTTACCTCCCTGTTTCACAATCTGAGGCCAAGCCGGCCTACTTTAGACCACAGTGAGATCTACAAATCACAGACACTCAATACAACAATGAATTGATGCCAACCTGGAATTAGTACGGCCCTTAAAAGGTCTCTTGAGAAAGGCCTTTGGCTAAATCATTCCAAATTAGCTTCTCTGGAAAAAAAAATCTTTACATCCACCATGGAACCTCCTTCCTGTAGGTCACAGCATTCATATTTTTAAATTATTAATGCCAGAAAATTCACTGGAACAAGCTATGCTGTCTATGAGCAAACTCTAATTAAAAGCAGTTTACACACCAGAGCTGTGTATTTCCTGGGCGCTTGGTTATGTGGTTAATGCACTCACTATACACACTCACACACGCAGAGTGATGACAGCAGACTACATGGTCGTGCTGCTATGATTTATGAGAAATATAAATTACAGCTGCCTCATCACAAAACACTGACAGTTATAACCATCTGGTGGGGTTCTATGGTTTGGGGGAGATTTGGCTGTTTTGGTTTTTGTTTTAGAAAGCAACAGTTCTAACTGTATTTTGCATTTCTAATTGTGGTAAATTACACACATTATAAATTCATTTTAAAAAGACAAAATTCCCTTTGACTGCATGTAGCTTTGATTCTCTCTTTTTCTCTCTCCCCCAAAGATGACTTTTCTAGCCACCCTTCAGACCCTTTTATTTTTCTCAGGACATCTCTTTGTACCCTTGTGACTTCGTGCTTAGACTCTTTTATGTGGGAGCATTATCACACTATAAATGTAATGCTGCAGTTTTTTTTACTTTACTACATTTTTTAGACATAACTGTATTGCTATATAGATCAAAATTGAAGTCTTTTTTGTGAAAACATAATGCTTAAAACTAAAGACATTATTAACAAACATTTCATATTAACTCTGATTTAGAGGTGGAAAACAGGAATGAAATATCTTGTCATTTTTTAACCAAAGCTTGCAGTATTAGTTTTTTATGTTTCCATATCCTTGAGTCTTACTTTTGGGTAGACATTCATTACTTTAAAAATAGTTGTGCCTTTTTTTTTTTTCTGTAGCCAGCTTATTAAAGAGGTCAATTAGGTAGCCTGTCACCCTAATTACATTAAACTGGTCCTTTCCTGGTGTACTGATTGAGGTCCATAAGGTTCAAACTTAAATAAATTTTATAAACAATTTTAATTTCAGCTTCTGTTCTTTGAAGTCCTTTAATGTTGAAGTACCCTTGATTTCCAGAAGGTGGCGTCTATCGGGGTGATTAAGACAATGTGATCTCCAACAACAGTTTTATCCTGGAGAGTGGTTTCTGAAAAACCCGTCTCACTCCAGTTCTTCTGTAAGGTGTTTCTAGGAGGAGGTGACTCACACAGAACTGGCAGGTCACAGCTCAAGCACTATTACCATTTTGATAGACAACTTTTCAGGCTCTTGCTCAATAAAGCTCAATAAAGCCCTGAAGAATATGCAGAATGGCTGTCCCTGACCCCGCTGCATCTGTTGACATTAGTCTGCACAGTGGAACTGAGGGCTGAACAGCACACATGTGGAGATACTAGTCCAAGCCCAGCAGACAAAATGCGAGGTGTCCTAGGAGAATGACCAGACAGCATCTTGAGCTTCCTTTGTTGTTTGACGTCGTATTTCTGAAAGACATCTCCAGAAGACACTGTTTTGATGTCCTGTCCAGATGCTCTTCGTGGTGCCTGGAACCCATCCGTCACTACTAGCAACGAAGGGTGCTAGTGGCTTACCACTGATCCCTTGTGCGCCAATTGCCCAAGCCCAGGGTTTCTCACCTCAGTATGGTGGGCAGGTCATGCTGCCACTGGAGGCCGTCCTGTGCATTGGCAGGATGGTTAGCAGTATCCCTGCCCACTCATCCTTCCATTCTAGTCCGAGTCCTCCTGATGTGACAAGCACAATACCTCCAGACTGTCAAATAGTCCCTAGGGGACAAATTGCCCATGGTTGAGAACAACTACTCCAGATTGATGGGAGCCACCAGGAAGTGACTCCACCACCAGCCCAGGCTCCCAACGGTGGGGCTGATGTGGGGAACTGAAGCCCCTCCAAGAGGAAGTTGACTCTGTGGCAGGAGACTACCTGCTGGGGTGCTGAGAAGATGGCCCCTTTCTTGATGTGGATGGAGTGACGTGGGTCTATCCCCAGGTGAAAATCCACGACACCATGGATTTAAGGTTCATGTGCTTTACTGTGTATCTCGATGAAAAAGAATCTGTGGGTGTTTGGTCGACTCTCAAGACTGGATGCTGGAGAGGCAGGCTGCTGCTGCCTCGTGTCTGTGTTTTGCACAGGGCAGTGCCTGTGGCTGCAGAGCACAGCCAGTGTTACACCTCGAGTGGGCCACTGTACACAAAGGCCTGACTCCTGGTTTCAATGACAGCTCT